AGTTGATCCCACTAATAAGGCAGCTGCAGTAGAGACGGGAATGTATTTCGTGGGTTTAAATCTTTTTCCAATACAGCTGGGCATCCTGTGTATTATACATCACTGTGCGTTAATCCATAGGTCCAAGAGGCACTAGGGAGCCGAGAGTCAGTCAGAGAGAGAGACAGAGAGAGAGAGAGAGAGAGAGAGGACTAGGGCGTGGGGGGGAAGCCCCCGAGATGAAGGTCTTGCACTGCAGCGAGATCAGGCAGGGGAGGGGGAAAGGGGTAGGAAGAAGAGGAAAAAAAGGGGGGAACTGAGACAGAAAGGGGGAGGGAGAGAAAGAGAGAGGAAAAAAAAAAGAGGGATGGGTAACAGCTGACCTCTTTTGCACAGGAAACTCAACCCACAGAGGCCAGCCCACTCAGCTGTCAACCAACCCCTTAAGGTAGCACTGCAGAGAGATGTTGGCCGCGGCGGCGGCAATAGATTTAGGAACCAGCATTAGGAAAGAGGAAGGTTATGGCTTGCGTGAAGCTCATCATATTCTTCCTCACCTCCCAGCCCCAAAGGCTGGCTCTCCCGCAGCTGATCTGCAGGATTCCCTCCCCACACCGGTTCCATCTCCTTTTCCAGATCAGGTCCTTCAGGCTTCACATCCCAATGCATCCCTGCGTGCCGGCTGGCCAGGATGTTCAGAGGCAGAGCAAGCTACGCCAAGCCGAGATGGGAGGAGGGCAAGGCGGCAAGGGGAAATGGATACCGGCTTTGCTGTGAAAGTTTTTGGAGGGGGAGGGAGGAGATTCGCCTTGGAATGTGGACATTCTTCCAAAGGGTGAGGTTCTGAGTCCTCTCTAAGGGCCAGCAATGAGTCAAGAAGCAAAGCAGGAGGAACATAGCAGCTCCACCATGTCCAGCTTGCCAAAGGTGGAATTCTGGAGAACTCAAAACCTTGCACGCTCTCCGATGCCACGTTGGTTCTCATCAGAAGTATTACCCACTTTGGGTGAAAATTTGGAACGTCTTTTGTACCAACTCAGCTACCATTGCTGCTTTTTATATGTAGTTACCTCCCCTCCCCCAACTTTGTGCTCTCCATGTGCTACAACTCCCATAATTGTTGAGAGGTGGGGTATAAATTTTACATATAAATGACTGAAGTAATTCATATTCACTAGGCCTTTTTGGAAGATCCGATTGGCTTTGTAAGGTTTATTAATAACCCCAACCTCAAAGAAGATTGGGCACTCTGTAAAGTTGCTCAACCATCATTTTAATCCCGTGGACGTTCACCAGAGCAAGGGAAAGATCATCTAAGAACGTTGAAGTGTCATCCACCATCTCTAAAAGAGTTTAATATTTATAATAAATGTTTTCAAATGAGTGCATAGGATATAATGAAAAAAAAATCCTTTTACTAGCTTCCTGCAAGTTTTTGGCAGCATTATATAAACCATAAGCCATGGTTTACATTCCACAAAGGCTAAGCTTCCCCCAGTGTATGCCATAAACAAGCCATGATGAAAGCTTTGGGCCACGGGGGAATGAACCCAACCTCTCTCTTGCTTTGTATTTAAGTGCTTCCTCCTTTCTGTATTCTGGGAAAATCTTAGTCTTCTCTTTTACGGGTGGCACCTTTTGGCTTCAGCCTCACAATTCCAGGAAATCTCAAATCTGAAATAAAAGTATAGCGGATTGCTTGATTGTTGGGTGAGTGCATGCACAAACTACCTTGTGTATAAACGCTGATATATAAATAGCACAACTGAATTATGCAGCACGCAGGATGGAGCTAGCAACCGAGACCAGTACTGTAGTCTACAGAAGGCTGGATTTCACAATAACCGTAATTTCTTCCCACTCTTAGCTCCAAGGAGTTGCAGGGGAAGGGAGGCCCAGTTCTGTTCTGGGCTGCAGCTTCAGAGTAGGCTGAGCCTACAACTTTCCTTGTCCACGCTGTCCTCCTGGTTGCGTGCCATGGAACAGGGTGGGAGTGGAAGAGACAGGCACCTGCCTTTAATTAGCTCAGTCAGAAATTTGAGGAATTCCAGTGCATCCATAATAAACAAAAACAGATTATTATTTTTTTGGCATCAACTCTAACCATTGTTGCAAAATACAGTCATATATCTCATTTCAAATGCATCTGAACTTTTTTTTGTTCTTTCTCGGATGGAACTGGAAGGTTTAGCTGTTGGTTGCATTTTAGTGTTGTCACTTCTCTGAAATCTTCCCACAGGAAGTCAATCTGTGAACCGCATCAGCTTCCGAAGTCCTTTTCTATTGTTTATCCACAGGAAGGTAGGGAAGAAAGCCACTATGAGCAAGCTCAGAACGAGCCAGGTTGCACCAGCTTCTCCCCACACCCACCTCACAGATGTTTTATGCCTGCACACACACACACACAAATATGTGTGAGACTTTTGCATAATCCACAGGCAATCTTTCACCCATGACGCCAGCAGCCGGTGCTTTGCTCTGGAGATGATTTTTGTCGATTCTGTGGTAGCAAATCTGATGGAACCAAGGGTGGTGTCTAGGGACAGACTAATGACCCCATCCCCAAACTTGGTTTGATTGCAAAGGCCTACTATACAATTAGTACAAATTTCAGGCAAAAGCATGGAACAAAGAGAGACTCAAACTGCAGCTCTCCCATCAGATTTCTTAAATTCCCATCCCTGCCACCTTTTTTTGGAGACCACCTTTCAACATTCCAAGTCTACAAGCACCCAGAAGGCCCCTGGGGTGACTTCCCCGGGCTTAGAAGGGAAGGGACAATTCAGTACAGAGCAGCAGGAAATCCCAGGCTGTTAGGTGGATGGGGAAGTCAAAAAGCACCCAAGATGATGGCCATGGTGAGGCTTTTCTCTACTTGCCAGGACAAAGAAGTCACTAGGAGTCAAGCGTGAGTTAAGGACTTTCCTCTATAAATCAATCATATGATACAGCACCACTGGTGGGGGCTTAGCTAAGCAATGCAGGTTCTCACTCATCCATCCATTTAATTTCATACAACTGAAAAGTTAGGTCAACAACTTTGAGTACTAGTGGTAATGTTAAAGTTGTTGCCAACTTGGTGGGTCCGTTTCTCAAGTCAGACATGTACGTGAGATCCAACCCTGTCAACCTACCTGACCTTGTTGAGTAAAAGACGGTTGTCCTCTAGAACAGCTTTATCTATTTTGCCCAGGACCTCAGAGAGATAGGAAAGTTCTTCAGCTGAAGATGATGGGGACTACATTTATGACTTGGCTACAACACCTTCAGAAGTTGAAGTAATCTAAATGTCTTGAGTTGAACATTTGGTAAAACCATGTTTTCAATGTTATACTTTCATTGTCATGTTCTCCTCCGCTTCCATAATGACCCATTTTGTTTCCCCAACAGCAGTTTCTCTGGGATTAAGTCAGTGGGCAAATTTAGTTGCCAATACAAAGTTATTGTGGAAAACACAGCTTGCAAAGAATATGAGCACAAAACCATTTTGATGCAACCACACGCACTACTTTATCAAATGCCTTAATATTTTGTTTTCACCTAAGAGGACCTAGTTGTGAAGACCTAGTAAGAAATTGTCATATATTACCATCAGGTTTTTAGCACAAATATGTCTATTACATCTTGTAACATGTGTATCTTACATAAGATACATTCATACATTCAGATTTTTACCAAGGAGTTTTGTAGCATTTATTGTCCAAATCTTATTTTACTACAATGCAGAGAGATGAATTATTCATCATGGCTTCAAATAGCATTATGTGGTTACGATTTAAGGAACATTTATCACTGGAGTGAAACTTAAAACTACTTCTGCAGTTAAGTGGAGGCATCAAATCCAACTGATTTTTTTCCTTACTGATGTCTATATATTGTATTTATGTTGCAAGGCAGTTTCCAAACCATCCATTAGTATTATTTTGCTATTACTGTGTACAGTATTAAGCCATTCTCCAAATTCATCTCAGGAGTCCTGCTAGGAAGGTGAAAGTGTTCTAGAGGTTTGTGCGTGCATGTATGTGTGTGTGCGCGCACACCTCCAAGTCAGTGTTGACTCCTTGCAACTGCCTGGAGAAGACCCTGCAGTTTTCTTGGCAAGGTTTTTTAGAAGTGGTTTGTCGTTGCCTGTTTCCTAGGCTGAGAGAGAGGGACTGGCCCAAGGTCACCCAGTTGCTTTGTGCCTAAGGCAGGACTAGAACTCGCAGTCTCCGAGCTTCTAGCCTGCTACCTTAATCACCACACCAAATCTGGCTCTCCCTAGAGGTTTATGGAACTGCAAATTATAAAAACTGCAGCTTTATTTATACAAGTCAACTGGCCCACTACGAGAGAACACATTTAAACAGAGGCTTGCTGCAGTGTATTCCGTGATATCGATTTAATAAGACAAAGCACAGCTTCAAGCTGCAGTAACTCAGATACCAATCCAATTTCCAATTAAAATAAGATTGCACATACTTCTTTTGTAGTATCTTACTTTATGCTCCTGTTCCTTTTCGCAGCATAGTTGAAACTTTTTTTCTTTAAATAAAGTTAAACAAACACTACATAAATCCTGTCGGCTTCACTTCAGTTTTTGAACATGTTTCCACCATAACAAGCACAGAGAAGGGGCCTTGGAGAAGCACACACAAGCTCTGGATTTTACAAAGGGAGTGTTTAGACTACCTGCATAGTACGTTTACACACTGCAACAAGGATGCATTTGTTCCCTTTCTCTCCCTGTGCCCCCAACCCAAGTGATATATGAGGAGGTGCACTAAAGGTTAACGTTCAACAGATGCTCTTCGCACATGATTAGCTTTTTATGTTCCAAAAATTACAATATAGGAGTCAAGCCACTAAATAGTTGTAAACAGCTTCATGGGAAGGCCAGGAGTGATAACCCACACAAAGATGATCCAGGGACCATGCAATTCAAAGGTTCTAAGAGCTGAAAACACAACACGCAGATTGTGGTTTCCTCCCCCTCTTACTTCCGCAACATTTGCTGTTTCAAGAACTAAGCAAAACAAAAATAAGGATGAAGTTTAAATTTATTTCAAAGTTAGCTTGGTGAACAGTGCCTCTTTTTGACAACTTAAAACCAAAATCCATTTATAGTGATTTTAATCTGAAAATAGAGTTCAATGCCCTTTTACCTTACTGTTGAATATACTGACACATCCTTGGGACCAGTTGAGGTATTTCTGCATCTCCCTACCCTCGCAGTCTTGCCTTGCTCAGAGTATAGTAATGCAAAAAACACTACAGGAAGAAACAAATACGTCCATAAAAATGTAATGATTGGCACGAAAGAGAGAGGAGAATCAAGGAAATACTTAAAAATTCCAGAGAAAGGTCAAGGATGAGTTCAAAATGTATTACATGACAGTTCTGCTGTTTAACTGAACAAGGAAAGCTTTTAATAATAATAATTAAAAAAAGCCCGCTGTGCATACCATTTCAAGCAAGAGGAAAAGGAATGTTTTAGAGTCACACTCTCAACATAACAGTATAGGCTGTCATGGGGAAGTTGGATCTTTAAAGACACTGCATCAGGCCTTCTCAACGTATATGTATGACAGATAACTTGCATTACGTTTGGGGAGAATTGTAGAGTCAAGAGAAATAGGTCAAAGAGAGACTCACACTAAGACAGGTTGCAGTACATATACACACTGAGGAAGCCTGAGTTATATGTAAAAAAACCCTCTCTTTTCCTCCATTTCTGAGGACCAATTATAATCCACTTTGCCATGAGAACTGCCAAGTGACAATATACTTTGTTGGGTGAGCATAATCTGTGTATATGGACGCAGGAGCTCATCATACAAATATTTTTGGTCTCTGGTGAAGATTAAATACGACCTGTGCTGTGAATGTTAACAGAATAATCTTTCAAGTATCAGTGGCAATGAGGAGGGAGCCCACTGTGAAACATTTGTTACCCAAAAGTTTATTGTTAGACAAGTGAACCACGTCCTCAACTAATGGACGCAAATTCAAGCACTGGTGCTTTTTCTCACGTGGTGTTAAGAAATGTGGTTTTCTCACAACCAAAAGTTATCTTTAAAAAGGTGATTTTGCCCCTATTTCCCCAGAAAGCACTATGAAAATGTTATATCAAGACAGTAAAGTAACAGAAAATGTATTACATGTCTTAATACCTAAATGGTGAGTTTATACTGAAAATTTTAAAGATAGCCAGACAGAAGAACTGGACTTTTGTCCCACCTACACAGAAGAGCCTGTAAAGATTTGCAGGTAAGGTTTTTGCTCTGCAGAGAAAGGCTTTCGAAGCAGTTTTAAAAGTTGCATCACTGAACATCTCTCAATTTCTGCTGCAATTGAAAACATATATTCTGCCTTGCTGCATCACCACATTTGACCAAAAGGAACCACAGTATTTTGAAATACATAACAGGCCATTGTGGGATGACATTAGATTCTAAGGGACATGCCGTTTTCTTTAATAAAGCTGCACAAGGACACTCAAGGTCACTCAAACCCCAAATACAAGAAAAGGAACCTTAGCATAAAATTTCTTGTTTCAGTCATTACAACGTTCAGCCACAACGCATAAGAAACATCTTCATTACTCTTTTTCTATTGGTATAATTCAGTTACACTATACCTCACCTAAAATACGCACCCAAACATATAACCCAAGGTAAAAATGGCAGCCATACGTCTGAAGTATATAGAAAACCCTGTCCTTTTCATACCATTTCCAAAGCTTTATTTATTCACTCTCTTGGATGACTATAAATAAGTATTTCCACTATGGAAAAGAAAGTTTAGCACAGTACATTTTCATGACTGGGGAATGGAATTTTTCTGAAGAACTCTTCCAAAAGGGCAAAAGTTTAGAAAAAAAATTGAACATCAGAATACAGTTCTTTATAAAGTCCCTTGTAAAAATTAAGAAAAAAAAAATAAGAAAAAGGAAAACACAAGGCCCAAAATGATTTATTGCTTTTCTTCAGTTTTTTCCTTGACTTCTTTCTTGTCCAATTCTTTGCTCTCTTCCTTTACAGAAAGGTCTTCTAATTTTTCAGCAATTTTATCAGCGCTATCGTTTTTGTCTGTTTCTGCTAAAAGATGTCGGTGTAGACCGTTAGCATTTAATAGGCATTAACGGGAAACAATGTTATGGAATGCAGCAGGAAAACATAGTCTTTTTAATAATGCACTACTGAGTTTGAACTGCAGATATATAGATATGCAAGGAACTGAATATAACATTAGAACTTTTTGCTACGTTTGATATGGTATTTTTTTAAAAATGGTTCAAATGTATACATAAACAAAGAAAATCACTTTCCAATTTGCTTTGCCTGAAGATCTAAGAAGAATTACTTGAAAGCGCAGCATATTCACAGGTTTAACAATAAGAACCTGTTAAGAATTAAATGTGATGTGCCAAGACAATTGAAACAGACATCCACAAGGAAGGAAATGTTCATATTATCCTGGACTGCTACTCTAGCAGACTTAAAAAGCACTGTGACTGACTATCACAGTCACGCACAGAGTGAGCCTGCCAAAACAATGAAAATAATAAAAAACCTACTGATCAGAATATTGTGGGTCTCAACATCTCAGAATTATTAAGATGAGACTGCCAAAATACTGCTTCAATGATCTTTCAGCCATCAGGCTCCTAGACCCCAAACAATCACTCCAGCTTCCTACCACATCTGATCAGATGGCAAATCATTCCATCCATTATAGCTAAAGATCACCGGTTACAGAAATACCATGTTGGGTGATATCCTTCTGACTGCTTATACAATTTGGCTGGTGATACTGGAAGATTTTCATAGCCAAAGATGGGCTATAAATAATGAAAGATAACTGAGATCAAGTACTGATCTTCCCCAAGGCAGATTTTGAATGTATTTCCCACAACTAAACATGAAAGAATTTGTGATCAATGCTGAAAGCATCCCATTATTTCTTTTCCAATAAGGCAGAAGTAAAACCAGACATTGGCACAAAGTTGGCATTAAATGGCAGAGGAGGAAGGGGGAAAGATAAATTTTCTCCTTCCATGAAAAGGTCTTATAAAGAGGGCTGGTTACATCTTTAATGGTGAGAACGAGATTCAACAGAGAGATCAATTATGTTAGAAAGACTTCTAGAATGCTAGAAAAGGGAGTTGCTTCTACTGAAAAATGTCTATGTTGTTATAGCTAGAAAGGCTGCATCAAGAAAAACCTTTATTTTAGTGTGTGTGTGTGTGTGTGTGTGTGTGTGTGTGTGTGTGTGTGTGTGTATGTGTGTGTGTATAGTTACTGAGAAACAAGTCTCCTGTGAATATTCTAAATGCAGGTGTTGTTCCTGTTGTTATAGCTAGAAAGGCTGCATCAAGAAAAACCTTTATTTTAGTGTGTGTGTGTGTGTGTGTGTATGTGTGTGTGTATAGTTACTGAGAAACAAGTCTCCTGTGAATATTCTAAATGCAGGTGTTGTTCCTTGCAAGAGTAACCTGGATTACTGTGGAAAAAACTTTTCAATCTGATTTATGTCTAAACGAATTTTGTGACTAACTGGGATGATACCCTAGGGAAAATTAAAATGGGAAGCTTAATTCTGTAAGACGCTGATATACTGCCTAAGATGAAATTAATTTGGTTTAAGCTTTTCCAGAAATATCGGTCCTTCTCTATTTTTCACTTTAAAGTTATCAACATTTAAAGCTGTAGCAGGTATTTTTAAAGGTTCCACTTTTTAATAATTGCTAAGCATGATCAAAGCAGTCTAAATGTTATAGGATCAGGGCAGAAAAATAGCTTCAATTTTATGCCTTTACAGTTGACTCTATTGAGATCAATGGAATGCACAATACTCATGACCAAATCAAATGCGCTATTTTCAATACACCTACTCTAAGTAACACCAAACCTATATACACCTCACAGACTTATGTAAAATATTTGGTGCAAATTTTACATTTTCCCTACTGGTCTGACTGGCCAGGGACTTTTGCAGAAACACTTCAGATCTCTTGATGGTAGTATTCCTTTGTCAGAAATAAACTAACACAAACATCTTACCTTTCTTCCCCTTTTTATCAACTTCACTCCTACATTCTTCAAATTTTGCTTTGAATTTCTGTGCGTCTATTTTAAAGAAGCAAAGTATCATAAATATGTTGCATTGGATCTAAACACTTAGCAAACAACTCAAAACATCTAGAAAAACACACACTTCATAGCCAGAGGCTACAATCTGCACATAACTGTATGCAGGGGATAACATTTCAGCCAAATTTCACCTTCCAGAAGCCAGCTGCCATTTTGAGAGAAAAATAATTACCTGAGCAAAGAATTAAAACAAGCAGTGGTGAGGTCATTACCAGCATTAGAGAACAGGGGGATAATTTCCATAAAACCAAAATTGTTAATTGGTGTACCAGGAGAGGCTATATTAGTGGCCACTTGAGGTCACTATCATCTAATACTAGACAGAAACTGCACGTACTTCATTCAGCAGAAAAAGGGAGCTTTGTAACTCTACAGGGTGAGGCCTGAGAAGCAACTGTCCAAATCCATGTTTGTTTCATGACTTTGCAAAGATCTGAGATACATTACACCATCTATAGTCCTCTAATAGACTGGACCACATCCTTTCTGGCTTAAAAATTTGAGTTGCTTCTCCTCCCAGCCCAATGAACAAATTAATGGATATTAGCAGAGAGCAGCCTCCTCAACATGAGGTTTCCCCATCATTCCCAAACAACAAGGAGGGGGACATCAATTTTAAAAGAAGTCTTGCTTCCCCAAAACAAGTAACTTACTTTCTGCATTTAAAAACCGAATTGCCAGAAGTTCTGGTTTAGGACTCTCGTCTGCAAAATCAGCATGTGTATTCCACACCCAGGCCCTGTCACTGCCAGCGTTGGGCTTCAACTCCATTAAAGGTGTTACTAGAAGCGGGGGGGAGTAGGAGTTAGGCACAGGTAATACAACAAGGTAATACAAACCATCAAGCCGTTATTCATTTCTTATAAGCAGCTTATAAGGCTGTTAAGAACCAGCATGGAAGATCAAGTCTATCTAAAAAAGAACGAATGGGCAATTATCTATTATTCGTAATTAAAATTGTATTTCAGAATGCTACTGCTGCTGTCCACAGCTTGTTTAACAAAGCTTCTAACAATGCAGCTTGTAACTCCAAATATAATAAATGGCCCCTGCACAGTTTCCCTAGAATTGCTGAACTGAAGGAAGCTAGACTGCTATTAGTTTGACCCTGGGCAGGGTTTGTCTGTCTCCTGTACTGCAGAATTCACTTTGCTTGTTTCAGTCAACTTGTATGTCTTCTCTGCCTGCAACGCCATGATCTGAACTTGATGGCTGAAGGACAGACAGATGTACCTGCACGGCTTTGACTAAACAGATGGCACTGGATCATACCATTGTTTGACATTCTGCACATTTTAATTATGCTTGAGAATGAGCCTCATGCTATCTAGAACAATCTATGAGCACCGGCGTTTTATCTTAACTGCTAATATTCACTCTGTCATTATGATACCAACATATATAGGAATCTTAACTAGGAGAAAAGTACCAAATTACATACTGTAATGATTAGCACAGATTTTTAGAGTTTTATCTCTCCTCATTAAGAGGCGAATGGTCCCCTTTTCTTTGTGCTTCAGGAGTTTTACATCACCAGTACCACGTTCTTTCCATTCCGGAAGGTCATTTTCTGATGCAAATCGGAAAAGCTTTGCCCGCCTTCATGAGAAAAAAAATGCAAACAAAAGAGGACAAATTAATGTGGCAAAGAATATGTCAGATATTATATTGAATTAGGAGCTTTTAGCATCTTAGGGAGGGAACTTTTCCCTCCATGAGATAACTAATTTTTCCACCAAGTTCTCAACAGACAGCACAAGCTTGAAAGTTATAAATTAATAAAAACTTCTCAAGAAGCTTCTCTGAAACAAAATGCTCTTAAAATCTATTTTCTGGATGGCTAAATCAGTTGCAGTCAGTTACAGTCATTACAATTTCGAATAGAGTTTAAACAACCCGTCCAGTTAAGCCTGCATGTTACAGCATTTCCCACCACAACTGGAGTTCAGTCTTATACCTAAAAGTGTACTCTTACGCTTTCTGAAAGTTAAAGAGATTCTGTTAATTTAATTGCTGAAAGCTTGGCTTGTACTTACATCTTGAAGAGTTCTTCCTCATCTTCCTCAAGAGTTTTGATCTCTTGCTCCGGAAGAGAAACTATGGGCTCAAACTGTGGATCGTGGTTAGAATCATCTGCATTGTCAGCTGCGGAGTCATGCTCCTCGTGTGCATCCTGTGGAGTTAGATGAAAAAGCTTTATATGTATTAAAGGCTTATTAGAGAAGATCATTTTAAAGAGTTAAGATAGAAATTCTCATGAACACACCCATCTGCCCTTCATTAGAAAGTTAATCTAAACCTATTTCACTCTGAAAAAATAGTAGCTTATTATGGCAGTCAATATAACTACAAAAGAACAGCCTGAGTTCAAAACTATCACAGAAGCAAGCAGAAACCTCCAAGTCATGTTCTTTTAATTACATTATCTGCCACTTCTAAACTTCAGAAAAAGCGAGTGCAAATGTGTAACCGCCTCCAAATACAGGTGCCAAGGGCCAATCTACAGTTTCTTCCCTTTCATAAAGCATGCATGATGCTCAAATGACATCCAACCATAGTAAAATATGCTCTAATCAGGCTGGTGAACATTCTCCCTTCTCCTCTTGGATTCCAAAACCAAGCTATGTATTTGTGAATATGTATGACAAATAATAATAATGATGATGTCTTAAGAATAACTTTCAGCATCAGAAGGCGAGGAAGGAACCCTGGCAGAGACTGTAGAAATGAGTATAAAAATGCCAATAAAAGAAGGATGTTAACCTGTCACAAAGAACTGAGGCGTTACTCCAGAGTCTTTCACAGTGGGCAGCATAAAAATAAAGTAAATAAACAAATTGTGTATTTTCTTGTTTTCTACTTTAAGCAGCTGTTAAAAACTAAGAACGAGAACTTTGCAACTAGAATTTGATGGCTACTAAATAAATGAGGATTTTAAAATCTGAAGGAGGAGGTCAACTCTCCAAAATCAAACCTTACCTGTATTTTATTTTGTACTACAGGGGAAAAAAAAAAGACCATGAAACAAACAACGATGCCAAAGCAGACTTTCACCCATTGGACCCAGAAAGCCCAAAGACATCTGCCGCTTTCTTAAATTTCCATTCATGGAACCTGATGCCTTTTAAGGGATTCACTGCTGTTAGCTTAGCTGTTAGCTTCACGGACCACTCAAAGGGTGGTCTGGGGACCCCTGGGGTCCCTGAGACCTTTCAGGGGGCCTGTGAAGTCAAATAAGCAAACCCTTTAACATTTCCCGGTTTTAATTTCTAATTCGGTACACATCGATAGCTCTAACGCCGATCCACCAAAGCTCGTTGGGGTCGCCCATCGTTTTTAAGGCGGCCGAGGGGTCCCGAGACCAGAGCGCTTTGAGAACTGACAGGGACTGTCTGCGTACAAAGTCGAACCAGGCAAAACGCGCCCGGGGCAGGCGGCGGCCAAGGGCTGGGTCCTCGCTGGAGGCCACCAGGAAAGCGCTGGGGCCGTACGGGGAAGGGTCCCCGGCCCGCAAGGGAGCCCCCACCCGCGGGCGTCGCTCTTGGGCTCCTACGACGGTCGCCCTGGGAGCCTGCCGGGGAAGGGGCGCCTCCCCCGGTCAGCAGCCCCCTCTTCTC